AAGTTATCCTTCAGAACTAGCTGTACTCAGAGGCATGCAAAGTTTTCCACGTTGTATAACGTGCCACGGTCGGTGTTTAAATTACATTTAATCAGTGCAACGAGACAGACGCATCAAAGACACACAACGACTAAATAAACAGGTTTTAAAGTGACAAACGTGTTTTAGCTCAGCAACTACCACACGAACTCTCTCTCCCTCTCTGGATCTCATGTGCCAGGTTAAAAAAAACAGTCACTTGAGTAGGTTACCTAACATTAGCAGACTAGCAGCTTTTGTTTTGAATTGCATTAGTGCGCGCACAAGGTTCACTTTGATAAAAGTGTGTGTTAGAGTAAACTGCTCGCTTCGTACCTGCGTGCAACTTTTCCGATCAAGCAAGATGTGACTTTTGCTGCTTCACTTCAGCCCGTAACTTGTAAATCTAGCACGCCGAGAAAACACGCCCACCGCCTCGGCAGCGCAGCCCCGCAGAGGGTCGCCTCGCTCCGCGTCCAGCCGCACCGCAGCCCCGTACTCGCGGTCGAGCCTCTGGAGGAGCTAGTCGACGAGATGCTAACGAATTACGCTGGCTATTGCAGTTTTGCAATCCATCCCATGCAGATTTGATCGCGAGTCTGTGGATTAATTAAAGACAAAATAATACCACAAAAAATATCGGTCGATTCTGAAAGCACTTCCTCCGACTCAGACCTGTGGGTGATTCGCAGTTTCAGGACACAAAACAAACTTTGAACCCACACTGGTTAGGACTGTAAAAATGTTGTACTTGACCCTAAATAGATGGGACTCCGTGTAATTACGCCCCGCCCAGACTCTACCCTGTACAGCGGATTTTCCTCCAATAACGGATCAAAGACTGCTGTGAGCGTGCGTCCGCTGTTTTGGTTGGTGTGACATCCTCTGTCACGCGCGCACTGTTTGGACAGGTCGGTTGTTCGTAAAGCGCGTGGGGACAACTCCCACATTCCACAAGCAAAACACACTCACTCACAAGCACGAACCCCACTGCTGCATTCACAGGCGAGCTGCTGCGCGCGCACATACACACACACACCCTCACGCGCGCGAGGGGTGTGTCGTGACGTCAGAGACTCCAACAAGGTAAACAGTTTGTCCGCATGAGGTCGAGCATCATATTCGTGTATAAACGAGAATAAATGTGTGCCAGGCACTTAATTCTGTATTGAAGGAATACTTTTTACATTTACTCATCCTGTTGTTGCAAACCTGTATGACTTTCTTCTCTGAAACACAAAAGAATGACAGCCTCATGCACCATTCATTTTCTTTGTATGTAAAAAAAGAAAGAGGCAAGGGTATCATTCCCTAACATTCTTTCTTTTTGAGAATGCCATACAGGGTCGGAAAGGGTGAATAAATGATGACAGATATGAAATTAACGAATTTTCCTTTTGTGTTTTTGCTGTTTCTTTAAGAAAAACATAAATGCAACACAAAACAATTTATGGCCTAGCCAATAACCTACTTAACCTAATAGCAGTAGGCGATTTCTAGTTGCTACAGTTACTGCAGTAAGTCATGGAAATGTTCAGCCGTCTATGACGGCCAGTCTTTTTTTTAAATATAATATTTGGGTTTGTAAGGAGATGAGTTCATGTTTTACTTGGGTGTGTCTGCCTGGGTAGTATATCAGAGGCTTCTGTTTCAGGCCTAGAACGCAGAGCTCAACATTGTGTGCTTGTGTGTGAGTATGCATAAGAGAAAAATAACATACAAGTTTGATTGTATTAGCCTGATCACATGGGGGAATTCAGTCCTGTGGAACGCAGTGGGAGAAGAAAGGTTCTGTGTCGTGTTTGTGTGCAGGCGTGTGTGTGTGTATAAGATCTGAGCTGTAATGATTGATGGTGAATGTTGAGATAAAGGAAGAGAAATGTAATGGAGTGACGTAGTGAAAGGAAGATTGTAGAGGCATGAATGGAAGTAAAAGATGCAGAGAGAGGGGCATCTTATGGTTATCCATTGGCTGTTTCCGTCGTCCTCTCACAGGAACATATGGGCTATTGTCTGGAAATATAGAGGGGCACATTTAGGGCACTAAGCATGCTTTGTACGTACATTTGAAACAGCACCGCAAAGAGAAATAAAAGAGATATGGAATATCATAGAACTGGTACAATGTTGTTATACTATTAACACAGTAATACTGTATGTGAATTTATGATGTTTAATCTGGTCTTGTGACCTTCAGAGGATTCTGTCGTGGTGTTCACCTATAAAAGATCCCTCTCTCAATAGTCATCTGCATTTGACTAAGATCATACTTTTGTTCTCCTCTTTCCATTTCCCATGTACAAAATGTTCTGACGATTACAGTGATATAACAGTTCATAACCTCTCAGAGACTACAAAGATAACTGGAATGTGTGCAGAACATAGAATGTTACTTCATGTAGGTCAAAGGTCAAGGGTAGCCAGCCAATCAGGATTCTGTATGGAAATCAGATAAAAACATAGCTTAAAATCATTTTGCTTTTTTAAAGCTATATACAATAAAACATTATGAGCAATACATTTTGTAAGCAGCAATAGTATTAATACAGTATTCTGCTATAAGTTTGATTGCATCATATAATGATTGCTGTTAATAGTGTTCATCGTCTGTTTGATTACGTCTTTAATTGATTTGTCCGTACATTTCTGCCATATGTACATTAACTGACAGTCACCACTAATAAGCTACCACTAAATATTGTAGAAACTTAATTTGCTGTAAAGTTGCTTTGCAACGATTTGTATCGTGAAAAGCGCTGTACAAATAAACATGAATTGAATTGAATTAATACCGTATGCTTTGCTGTTGTGCAATATAAGGCTGTTTATGACATTCATATAGTTAGCATTTAGATTAATACTATGTAAACGTAAAATAAGTGTTGTGTAAATTTAGATTAAATTAGTTGGATTTTTAGTCTGTTGCCCCTTATTTTGTAATGAAAATATCTTCTTCTTTTTTTTTTGCCAAAAAGGGAAATATGAGAAAACACCCATCTTTCTTGCTACATCTTTACTCGGAACGAAAATGTCACATGGAAAAAGCATTTGATTTCCTAGAGAGAGAAAAAAAATAGGATAAACAGTGGAAAAGATGACCAAAATAAAGACGTTGTACAGACCGACCATTCTTTGACTTTGTAAATCTTAAAGAATCTGCTATATTTGTTGCAGATGTTTTTGTCACGATTAAATGAATACATCTAATCAGTAAACACCCTGGATTGTTCGTGCACGGAAGTCATCTTTTGGAAAGATTTGAATCTAATAAAAGGAGCATAACGTTTTGTAACAATCCGATGCGTCTATTTCTCGGTAGAAGGATATAAATAAGTAAATAATACGATTAAAACCCTGTTTCAGCAAGGGAGACTGTGAGTGCGTGCGTGCGAGATTTGCCTTCAGTTCGAGGAACTGCCAGCTGAAGATGTCATGACTGTAAGCGGTTAAACACAACACAATATGAAATGAGAAGACACATTAACGATAGTGTACAAATAAAAAAATAATAATAATAAAAATAAAAAATAAAAAAATGAAAAAGCTGATACAATTCTAAAAACATTAAAGTAACGTTAAGTAGGTTATAATTTATACAAAAGTTACTAAAAATACTGCTGGTTTGCTAGAACCTGCCAATGACTATAAGCAAACTAAGCTAGCAAAGCACTATAAATACCCGAAAGGAAGCAGCGCAATTTCACGCTAAACAGACAAATACACGCGCAGTGTAATGGAAAGAACAATAACATACGATACAACTATACAGAGCATTAAAGTACAGCCCACATATTCAGTGAATAATTCCCTTCATGTCGCTGTTTCGGGAGCGCGGTCCCATGGTGTAATGGTTAGCACTCTGGACTTTGAATCCAGCGATCCGAGTTCAAATCTCGGTGGGACCTCGTCCTTTTGAAAATGCAAAAAAAGCCGACCTAGTCGAAGTTAAAAAACAAATGCAGTGTTGTGTTAAATTAGGACAAAGCATCAGCGATGTACCTCCATGAAATGCTGTTAATTCAGCTTGTGTATGTTTACAAAACAAACAACGAGTGTCTTCAAGAAGTGAGTATGCTCATATTTCATTTATTGATGAGAAAGGGTGGGCTGATTTTGATATTTGATAGCTGGTTATGGTAAAAATCATCAAAATGTGTGACAGTAAAACAAACTCAATGACAATATCTTACACTATGATACACTCTTATGAAAATATCCCCTCCACGATAGTTGATGCATTGTTAAAATGGCCTTTTTTGTTTGTAAACATGCAAATCACAATAAGAATGTGTAAATATGAAATAATTTGTTTTAGTCCAACTCTTTTACAGTGATTAATTGTAAAAACCATAGGTTTTTTTTTTTTAACTGTAATAGGTAGACTGTGGATGTAGGCAAATTAAATATTTGTAACTCTATTCATCTTGCATGCATATTTCACAATAAATAACACAATAAAATATAAATATAATAATATCTACACTGTGCAGAGCACATGCAAGTTCTATTTTCATTACAATCTGCTGGTAACTAGGTGATCATTTCTATTAAGCATAATTAAGTGGCTTAACTTAAGTTTTATAGGCCACACCTAAGCAAACTATGCTTAACTGGCAACAAGCAAAGACTAGCAGTGCTTTTCTTGTCAGTACTTAACATAAAGAGAGTGAAGCATGACATGATTAACAAATGTAGAAGCTAAATCTATAGACCTTAGTTTTCTACATTTAAATTAAAGTAATCACAGTGTTTTGGTGCGTGGTGTTACAGATCAGTTATTAGTGTAATAATAGTTTCATAAACCTGATCCCTCAAACCTCAAGAGAAAACATAACTCTAGGCACATTATTACTGCAAACCTTTATTAAATAACTGGAAATCAGATATTTTTCGAGGGATAAAGGAGAGTTTAGTTTTTTTCATATTTTGTTTTATAATATTTTATTTAAATACCAAAAAGAATGAATTTAAAAACACATTAGTTGCTAAAAATATGACTTTGTGTCTTGTAAAGGCCATTTTGAATAGAAAACGAACAATTCTGACCATTTAACTGAAAACAAACACACAAAATCAATGAAAATAAAAACAGAACAACACAATAACAGTCATACAGCTTTGGCATCCTGAGTGGTAGGATTAATGGCCCATTTTCTCAACCAAAAAGAGGTTTGAGTGTCGAAAACTTCCTCTCATTTATTTATCCGTTAGATATACTTTACCAGGAAAATCCCTGTGTTGTTTTTCTTGTACATTTTTTAATTTAATAAAAGGCGTATAATTTGAAATCACTTCATAATGCACTCAATTTCAACATGACCTAATCATGACAGAAAAGACGAAGCTTGCATACGGAGTCAGTTTTGTGTATCCTAATGAGAAACACTTCTCTCATTCTGTATATAAACGTAACATTGACAATATCCACTGCGATACCATCTTGTCCTTTGCTCTCTCTGTTTTGTTTTTCTCCATCTCTCCTTTACTGTGTTCATTTTCGCAGCTGTTGAGGTCCCAGCATGACTTTATTGATGAAGTTCACAATGGCCGTGGCTGGCTGCTCTGGGTCCAGCTCTGCAAACAGGTGACACACGTTTCCCAAACCACCGCTGCGCCGTGCAACAAATCCAAACATCCTATAGAAAGTATATATCAGAGACCATGACAGATTGTTCAATTAAATAACCCTTTTATTAATTTATTTCATTTCACTTGCTTAGTCTCAGTGGCATAGAAAGAAATGCACTTGTCTAATTTCTAAATGTACACATTTGGGAATAAAAATCCAGAAGGCACAAGAAAAGCTACACCGAAAGAGAATATAGAGGTATATAAGTAGAAGCACTTACTTGCGGGAAGTGTTATCAGCATCAATCCACCTGGCGCACACACACACACAAGCAACATGTATAAGCAGAGCAAATAAGAGGAAAGCATAAAAGAGGGCAGGAGAGCCATTGCACAAAAAAAAAAAATAATAATAATAATAGCAAGTTGACAGCCTTAGATCAGCATGAGAGGCAAACCTTCTTCTCTAGACATGTTCACTAGACTACGTTCAAAGAAATACATGTTGGCTTAGCCATACAATGAAGCAAAGTACATTAGAGATGAGGTATGTTGTAGATTGGAGTTGTATTTCCTAATGATTCAATCCTAAATTGTACCTTTGATCCAGTGGATCCACACTGCTGAAAGTCACACTATGAATAGGGTAATGTCGCCTGAAAAACAGTCTATATATAAAGAAAAAGAGAGAGACAAAGAGTGAGGTCTGAGTGAGTCTGTTTTTACTTTTCATGGTCTCTGATTAATATCTTGGATTTGAGTCATAAAGGCCTGTAGTTTACTTAAATGTCTAAAATAGGTAACTTTAATCTCATATTTGAAGGATGATGCTAAAAATATGCTTGAGGAGTGATAGTAATAAAGCTGTGTTACAAAGTAAACTGTTTAGCTTGGCAAGCAAAACATAAGTGTTATTGGACATGTGTATTTGTACCTGCGCTGGTTATCAGTGAGGGTGATGCCCTGTGTGGACACTTTGAAGTGGACGACTGTTGGTGAAGGACGAGGGTCCTGTGTCAAAGTGCACTTGGTTGCCTTGGAGACGGCTTGTGGGCCAGTCAAAGATTCTGTTTCCACTGAGTTTAGGTAAAGAACATTACAAGCTGACAATGAGAAAGAGAGAGAGTAATAAAGAATATTAGAGGGAGAAAGAGGACATTTGTCATTTTTAATGAGGAATATTGAATATAACACTGAGTTTTATCATCAAACTTTTTTATTTCATTTTTTTTAGCAAGAATGCATTACATTTATCAAAAGTGACAGTAAAGATGTTGACATTTTCAAACAGATGCTGTTTTTCAGAGCCTTCTTTTCATCAAAGAATTCTGAAAAATAAAAAGAATGTATCACAGTTCCCACAAAAATATTAAGCTGCACAACCATTTTCAAATGTAATAATAATAAGAAATATTTATTGTGCATCAAATCAGCATATTAGAATGATTTCTGAAGGGCCATGTGACACTAAGACTGGAGTAATGGCTGCTGAAAATTCAGCTTTACCAATCGCAGGAATAAATTAAAAATTATTAAAATAGAAAACAGTTATTATAAATTGTAATAATATTTCACAGCAGTACTTTTTTTACTGTATTTTGATCAAATAAAAGCATGAGCCTTCTTTCAAAAAAATTAAATACATTTCATCAACCTCAAACTTTTGAACAGTAGTGCGTGTATATAACTGTAAGATCCATATTAATAAACTTAATAATACTTACTGTTTTTCTGCACCATCCATACATAGAAAAAATAAAATAATAAAATAAAATAAAATAAATCAAACTCACCCGCCCCCTGTTTTAATAGGTCTGCAGCTGTGCTGGTATTAGTTCCATTTTGCAACTCTTGCAATTCTCCTACAAGATCTGAAACACAAACACACACAAATCAGGCAGTTATTACATAGTTATTATGAAAAAAGATTAATTGTCATATGTTTTCGTGTTTGTATGACCTCTATCTGGGATTCGTAAGACACAAGGAAGAGACACAGGAGTAATGGAGTGCTGATACACCAAAGCAGACAGGGAGCCTGGATGGAAAGAATCACAAGAACTCGATCAATAAGGGGCGCTGTTTTCAACACAGAGCATTAGAAAATAATTCATAAACCAGGCGTAATCTTTTTTTTTTTGCCTCACCGAAATATGTTTCATTTTGACAGCCTTTGATCTTCACTCCTTTAGGACCACTCTCAATCAGGAAGTGCGTTACTAGCTGCTCCTGTGGGTTGCCTGTCTCTCCGTGGTTACTAGCGTGGGCTGGAGGTGTGCTGACTTTCAGAGCCAATCCATATGCGCCTTGGAATGAATTACTATCCCTAATGAGGAAGCAGCCAGGCTCCTTATCTTTTAATACTGTGATGGCTGAATGGGGAAAGAGATACTTCTGTCAACAGTGGCCTCCTAAAGATTGATTTACAACTGGATTTTTACAACTTGCCCTTCACTGATATGATGATTGTAAGGTATTGAGTTTTTTTATTGTGTTGCTATGAAGTTGCTAGGGTGTTCTTATGAGGTTCCCAGGGCATTACTAAAAAATTTTAATATAAGGGATCAGTGGGATTTTTTCTTGGTTTATCATCCACTAGATGAAAATCATTAGTCTGATCATTAGTCATTAGTCGCTTAGAAAAGTAACATTACAGTTGAACACTGAGTATCAATTTATTTATTATATATTTTTATTTATATTTAAATCTATTATATATATTCAGATATTATTTATTCATTCAATTTATTATGATTTATCAATCACATTGGTTACAATTCTGGCCAATACGATAAATCGATAATTATTGCCATTCAATTACCAATAACTTATAAAAAGTCGATATTAAAATTCTGTCACATTTTAGTTTGGGGACCAATTCAATTAACTATGACTTTTGCCTTATAAACTCCTAATTTGCTGCTTATTAATAGTTAGTAAGGTAGTTGTTAAGTGTAGGTATAGGATAGGATTAAGGGATCTAAAACATGGTCATGCAGAATAAGGCATTAATATATGCTTTATAAGTAAAAATAATGCTAGTAATATACATGCTAATAGTCAATAGTGAGAATTGGTTCCTAAACTAAAGTGTTACCTAAAATTGCATACTATGTCTTAACAGCTAAAAAAACCTGAAATACTAATAACTAAAATCAATTACTTGATGACTAAATGATTAGTGTTTTTAAAGATTGACTTTAGATTAGTTAGATAACAGCAAATGTAATGTAGAATGTAGAAATATGGAAAATGATCATTTGCAATTAAATATCTATTATCAATCAATACCAATAAATTTTTTTTTTTAAATTCTAAAAGTACTGATATATTGTGCACTACTAATAGTATACAATAGTCAAACTTTAGCGCATAGGGCTAGTAATGTTAATGTCATGGGTCCGAATGGCAAAGAATGCATATAGGCCCACAACATTTGCTAACTGCATAAATGTAAATAATGTAAGCAATTCTCACCCTGGTCTCTGGAGATACCAGGATGGTACCAGTACTTGGAGCTGTCTTGAACAAACTTGGAGCTAAGGCGGATCTCTGGCTCCACCATGCCACTAGAGGGGGTTACTTTGCATTTAGATGTGGGAGGCAATTCATTGGTAGTAGTGGAGAAGGACACATGGAACTGGGCAGAGGAAGTCAAAGGTTTTCCAGCTGACTTTATTGAGGAAGCGCCAGTGCATTCAGACACGTTCTGAAGGGGGGATGAGTGTTGTTTTTCAGGGAGAGGAGGTTGGGGTAAGGAGGCCGGGATGGTAATCTCAGTATAGCCTGTATAGGGTACATGATGCACTGTCAGAAGAGGGTAGCTGTATGATGCTATAGGGAATGAGGGTGTGATGTAGCCATCAGGGTCAGGGGACGATGCAGTCAGGTCACTGTTGCTGCTTTCCTCATTGTGGTCGGTCAAGGTTGTCAGGCTTTGCCTTTCAGCATTTATGTTAAATGAAGGGAATTCAGAAGCAGAGCTTCTCTCTGAAGAACAAAGAGGAGGTTGAGGACTTGTTGAGGTGTAGCATGAGCCGGGGCACTCCACTTTATCCTGCTCTGATTCTAGGATGCTGGTGTTGAGAGGTTTGGGGTTGTGTGTTTGTACCTGCACTGACTCCACAACCTTGGATGACGGTGGGTTACTAATGAGAGTGGTGTTAGATGTAGAATCTGTGATGGGTGTTTTCTTTGTATTTTCCTCCGCGCCACTGATAGCCGAGACAACAGTGATCAGAGACCCAGGGAACGTTCTACTTTCTAGAACTTTGCTTTTCATTGGCTCTCCCAACTCCATTGGACTGCTGTTAGAATACGCAGAAGAATTTAGTTGATATCACATTAAAATCAATGTTCAACTATCAAAATTAACTGTTGCTGAGAGATTAATGTACATGAATTAACAATTACCTAGGAGGTGAAAGGGCCTCAATGTGACTTTTATCAGCATCTAAAACCTCAATACGCCCATCTACAAAAAATAAAATAAAATGAACGATAGATTAGATTAGGAAAGAGAAAAAAGCTGAACTAAAAATAAATGTTGCATAAACTAAAACTAAATGTTACATTTATGGTATTTTTCTGTCCCTTTTAAAGCTTGACAGTATCAATCACCAACGAATTTTGTGTATAGGAAAGAACAGTGTGTACATTCTACAAAATATCTCCTTTTGTGTTTCACGAAAAAACAACAACAACAAAACAATACTGGTTTGGGCAACTTGAATGATGAACAGAGGTTTAATTTTTTTGGTGATCTATCTCTTTAAATATACATTACTGTTTAAAAGTTTGGGGTCAGTACGATTTTTAAATGCTTATGCTCACCAAGGCTGCACTTATTTGATAAAAAAAAAAAAAAAAACACTAATATTGTGAAATATTATTGCAATTTAAAATAACTCTTTTCTATTTTGATATATTTTCAAATGTAATTTATTCATGTGATGACAAAGCTTAATTTCTCCAGTCTTCCATGTCACACAATCCTTCAGAATACATTCTAAAATACAGATTTGGTGTTTAAAAAACATTTCTTGTTATTATTAATGATGAAAACATTTGTGCTGCTTAATATTTTTTAAAAAGTCGATATTAAAATTCTGTCACATTTTAGTTTGGGGACCAATTCAATTAACTATGACTTTTGCCTTATAAACTCCTAATTTGCTGCTTATTAATAGTTAGTAAGGTAGTTGTTAAGTGTAGGTATAGGATAGGATTAAGGGATCTAAAACATGGTCATGCAGAATAAGGCATTAATATATGCTTTATAAGTAAAAATAATGCTAGTAATATACATGCTAATAGTCAATAGTGAGAATTGGTTCCTAAACTAAAGTGTTACCTAAAATTGCATACTATGTCTTAACAGCTAAAAAAACCTGAAATACTAATAACTAAAATCAATTACTTGATGACTAAATGATTAGTGTTTTTAAAGATTGACTTTAGATTAGTTAGATAACAGCAAATGTAATGTAGAATGTAGAAATATGGAAAATGATCATTTGCAATTAAATATCTATTATCAATCAATACCAATAAATTTTTTTTTTTAAATTCTAAAAGTACTGATATATTGTGCACTACTAATAGTATACAATAGTCAAACTTTAGCGCATAGGGCTAGTAATGTTAATGTCATGGGTCCGAATGGCAAAGAATGCATATAGGCCCACAACATTTGCTAACTGCATAAATGTAAATAATGTAAGCAATTCTCACCCTGGTCTCTGGAGATACCAGGATGGTACCAGTACTTGGAGCTGTCTTGAACAAACTTGGAGCTAAGGCGGATCTCTGGCTCCACCATGCCACTAGAGGGGGTTACTTTGCATTTAGATGTGGGAGGCAATTCATTGGTAGTAGTGGAGAAGGACACATGGAACTGGGCAGAGGAAGTCAAAGGTTTTCCAGCTGACTTTATTGAGGAAGCGCCAGTGCATTCAGACACGTTCTGAAGGGGGGATGAGTGTTGTTTTTCAGGGAGAGGAGGTTGGGGTAAGGAGGCCGGGATGGTAATCTCAGTATAGCCTGTATAGGGTACATGATGCACTGTCAGAAGAGGGTAGCTGTATGATGCTATAGGGAATGAGGGTGTGATGTAGCCATCAGGGTCAGGGGACGATGCAGTCAGGTCACTGTTGCTGCTTTCCTCATTGTGGTCGGTCAAGGTTGTCAGGCTTTGCCTTTCAGCATTTATGTTAAATGAAGGGAATTCAGAAGCAGAGCTTCTCTCTGAAGACCAAAGAGGAGGTTGAGGACTTGTTGAGGTGTAGCATGAGCCGGGGCACTCCACTTTATCCTGCTCTGATTCTAGGATGCTGGTGTTGAGAGGTTTGGGGTTGTGTGTTTGTACCTGCACTGACTCCACAACCTTGGATGACGGTGGGTTACTAATGAGAGTGGTGTTAGATGTAGAATCTGTGATGGGTGTTTTCTTTGTATTTTCCTCCGCGCCACTGATAGCCGAGACAACAGTGATCAGAGACCCAGGGAACGTTCTACTTTCTAGAACTTTGCTTTTCATTGGCTCTCCCAACTCCATTGGACTGCTGTTAGAATACGCAGAAGAATTTAGTTGATATCACATTAAAATCAATGTTCAACTATCAAAATTAACTGTTGCTGAGAGATTAATGTACATGAATTAACAATTACCTAGGAGGTGAAAGGGCCTCAATGTGACTTTTATCAGCATCTAAAACCTCAATACGCCCATCTACAAAAAATAAAATAAAATGAACGATAGATTAGATTAGGAAAGAGAAAAAAGCTGAACTAAAAATAAATGTTGCATAAACTAAAACTAAATGTTACATTTATGGTATTTTTCTGTCCCTTTTAAAGCTTGACAGTATCAATCACCAACGAATTTTGTGTATAGGAAAGAACAGTGTGTACATTCTACAAAATATCTCCTTTTGTGTTTCACGAAAAAACAACAACAACAAAACAATACTGGTTTGGGCAACTTGAATGATGAACAGAGGTTTAATTTTTTTGGTGATCTATCTCTTTAAATATACATTACTGTTTAAAAGTTTGGGGTCAGTACGATTTTTAAATGCTTATGCTCACCAAGGCTGCACTTATTTGATAAAAAAAAAAAAAAAAACACTAATATTGGGAAATATTATTGCAATTTAAAATAACTCTTTTCTATTTTGATATATTTTCAAATGTAATTTATTCATGTGATGACAAAGCTTAATTTCTCCAGTCTTCCATGTCACACAATCCTTCAGAATACATTCTAAAATACAGATTTGGTGTTTAAAAAACATTTCTTGTTATTATTAATGATGAAAACATTTGTGCTGCTTAATATTTTTGTGGAAACTGTGATACATTTTGTTTCAGGATATTTTGATGAATAGCAAGATCAAAAGAACAGCGTTTATTTGAAACAAATGTTTGATAACACTTTACAATAAGGTTCCATTTGTTAACATTAGTTAACATGAACATTAGTTAACATGAAGTTCATATTAATTTTAACATTTACTAATACATTATTAAAATCCAAAGTTTTATCTGTTAATAATAATTAATGTACCTGAGCTAACATGAACTATAACAATGCTTTTATTAATGAATGTTACCATTAAGATTAATAAATACTGTAACAAATGTATTGCTCATTGTTAATTAAAATTAGTTAGTGCAATAATTAACGTTAACTAATGAATCTTATTGTGAAGTGTTATCAAAAGTTATTTTAGGAATGCATTGTTTTTTAGCTGTAATTTGTTGGCTAAATTGAGTCAATGTGATTACCATTCATGCTATGCTGACTCTCTTCAGCTGCAGCATTTTTGTAACTGGCTCGTTTTGGAGATGGAGTGAGAGCAATGGGGGAGGAGTTTAGGGAATGACTGATGGAGGCGTATCCAGGACTCTCTCTGAATGGTTGTGGAGAGCAAGGACAGGGTGGACGAGGGCTGTGGTAGCCACTGCTTTGGGGGCTGGGATATGGACTGATTGGGGTAATATGTTCGGGTTGGGTGTCTGTAACATATATAGCTTGGTCTTGTTTTGGTACAGCGTGGCAATGTCTGTATGATAACGTTACTGGTGACATTGCTATTTTGCGCCGCCAATATTCGGCCTCTTGAGCTCCTTCCCAATGAGACTCCGCCCTTTCATCCCTCCAGTGCACAGGCCCCTCCCTCCTAATCCCAAACTCTGTCTCTCTAGACCAAGGGAGAGCTTCTATTTCTCTGCCTCGTAAAGAATGGAGGGCAACGTCCTCTCGTAAGCGAGAACAGTCCCTGCAGGAGCACGATGTCGGCAGAGTCATGCTGTAACGTAATTCTCGGTATGAACTGGAGAGCAGTGACTGAGTAGGAGACAGAGAAAAAGGGATGTGGGCGTGGCCCTGAGGGAGGGCAGAGCAATGGAACACAGGACATGCCTCCCCAGAGTAGAATGCTCGTGTCTGTGCAGGAAGTGTGTGGGAATGGGAGGACTGTGAGTGAGAAAGTGGAGAATGAAGGTGGGTTTCGTGAGTGGGATACGAGTACATGTGCCTGACGGTTTCTGGGCAGGGATGGTGCAGACATTGCCCTCTCTCCCATAAAAGATCTGGCTGGGATACACACGAGTCTCGGACTGGCACCGGGGCGGTGCGGCTGCAGGGAAGTGTGTGGTGTTTGGGATGGAGCGTTTGTGCAAGTGCATGAGGGTTGGTCAGCTCTGGATCACAGAATGAATGAGTGTGGGAATACGGGTGACCATAACAAGACTGAACGGGTCTCATGGGAGAGCAGTCGCCATCGTCAAGAATCGCGGTTTCTCTGTGTCTTTCCCTGTCTTCGTCCTTCTCTCTTTTTTCTCTTAGAAGTGGAAAGGGGGATTCAGGTGGTGCTGAGGAGCGACTTGCATCTTTGCTGAGCGAGAGAGGCTGGAATGAGAGATGAATGGGGGTAGAGGAGGAATGACTGGGTGAATGTGTGGAGGTTTTGACGGAAGTCGACCATCCACTGGGACTGGAGCCTGGTGCTCGACACTTCTTCACTTGAGCATACAGACTACCGTCCAAAGGCCCACGTGTGTGACAGATATCTACAGATCATAGGGAAATACATAGACAAAACCTATTATTTACAGTCACATTAATATGGAGTGTATGAAAAATGTATTAGTTTTTTTTTGTCCCAGAATCTTGACTAAGGGGGACCTCCTCCAATAAATGATTCTCAAAAAAAAAAAAAAGATTATTTGATTAATTTTAACCCTATTTAATATTTTTGTTCATCACTATGTTTTGACTCAGATACAGTATATAAATTGTTTTATTAGTTGTATTTATTGTATTTTTTGTTTAAATGTACACCATAATTCAAAAGTCTGGGGTCAGTAAGATCTTTTTTTTAAGGAAATGAAGATTAATTCATTATTCAGCAAGGATACATTCAATTTTGGGCTAGACTGAGTGCACATACCCTCAACACTATCCTCATGGTGAATGTTAAAGTTCTCATACGAGTCCCAGCGCACAATAGGATCTGCGGTGCCATAATCCACAGACACTCCCGGCTCATTTCCCTGCACCTCTCCACCTCAAAAGACACACAAAACACACACATACAACATTAAGATAGAGCTAATAGAGGAAGGGATGGTGAAAAAGTGCATTTGATAGATATGTACCTCTCCTTTGCGAACCAGAAGAAAACAGCAACTCCACTGTGGCGTCTGCAGGGAAACGGTCATCTATACACAAACACGAATCAGAATCATAACACAGAAAACACACTTTATTCCTCAGCTTCTGACAAGCCAAGGCAATGGAGGGGGCAGTCAAACAAGCAGTGCTGGTAGGTTTACCTGTGCAAGCATGGTCAAGTTCTCCTTTGCCAAAATCAAGCTGAGACCCATGAACACTACAGGTGTGAAACTGGACTCTGAACACACATTCTCTCTTCGACACATCTGAGAGATGGTGATAACACTTCACCTAAAGACAGACAGTAAGAAGAACATTTTTACTGAAGAAAATGTGGTGCTTTTGTGGTAATACAAGTTATAAAAGTGTTGCTATGCAGATGAGAGGGTGTTCTAGTTGGTTGCTAGGTGGTTAATGGCCCAAGTGTCTATGATATTCTTATCCAGACATATGGCTTGAGTGTTTCACCCTTTTTATCATTAAGAGATTCACACAAAAATGAAAATTCTGTCATCATTTAATCACCCTTATATCATTACAAACCCATAAGTCTTCGGTTAATCCTTGAAACATGAATATATTTTGAATGATTTTTAATTTCTGTCTCTCCATTGAAAGTCCAAGTAACCAAAACATAAAAGATCTAAAAAGGTTATATAGCGTCATAAAACAAATCCATATGAATCAAGTGATTTAATCCAATCCTTGTGAAGAAATAGTCGTTTTATATGATGACCAGATTTAATTCGAGCTTTTATTTACATCTAAACAATGATCAACACACATACAAAGAGCAAATCACAGCTGAAATGTGTGCGCACACAAGTACATTTGAGCTGTCTACCATGTGTGATTCGCTCTATGTATATATATGTATATATGTTTACATATGAATAAAAGGCTAAATTCAATCTGTTCATCATGTAAAGTGATCATATCTCTTCACAAGGCTTGGAAAAAAACATTTAATTCATATGGATTTATTTTACGGCACCTTTAAGACCTTTTTGGATCTTCTAAATTTTAGCTACCTGGACTTTCAAAGGAGGGACAGAAACCTTAGGTTTCTCCTAGGTTTCATTAAAAATGTGTTTCACAGATTAACCAAAGGCTTATGGGTTTGGAATGACAAGAGGGTGAGTATATTATGACAGAATTTTCATTTTTGGGTAAACCATCACCAACCATGTGATGATGTTTTTTTTTCAATATGTATTTTAAAATATGTTCTCCCTTCAAAGCAATGGCTAGTGAAGAGGTTATAGGAGAGTCTAACATAACAAGAATGTATTCTTGTGAAATGTATGAGTGTTCTTACCAGGATGTCTCCCTTCAGCAGTAGAGCTGGTTCAATATTCACACACAGCGTCTTACTGTTAGGGCCCTGAATATCACTGTAACACAAACAAAAACAAGTTGGCAAAGTATGACATCTTACATTTTTTTTATAGTACAGTCAAGAAAGGACATGACATGATGAAAAGAAGAGAGGGGAAATGTAATTTGGATACACTGCAAGCCAGAGCTGGTCAGGCAGGTCTTTTAGCTGGATTTAGAGGGGTTTTGGACACTTTTCAGCTGGACAGTCAAACTTAATGAGACTGATAAAACAGACCCGCTTACTATTTGCCTGAAGTATAGACCAGCTGCAACGACTGATAGATCTTCACAAAGGGAGAGTAACCTGCAAAATGCAATGGATAATATGAGGAAACACAATGAAAGGTATAGTTCACCTAAAAATGAAAATTCGGTCATCATTTTCTCACTCTCATGTCGTTCCAAACCTGTATGAAAGAAGCAAGTCATACAGGTTTGGAACATCATGAGGGTGAGTAAATTATGATTTCATTTTGGCTTCAACGATCACTTCAACACATCTTCAAATTTAAAACATCCATACAGATTTCTATTGTCTTTTCCCCAAAATCAGTTCAGAAAATACAAAATAAGGCCTGGTTATGACTGAACATGTTGTGTACTTCCTCCTGACTGGTGGTTGAGCAAAGCGGGAATATGAATTTGATGCAGGAAAAGAGGGGAGCTGTTCATCTTTATTGAACCCGAGAGAAGACCGGCAAAATAATATATATACCTGCAATGACAGAGAGAACATCATGACCAAACTAGAACACGTTATTCTGGAACAAACAGAAATAAAGTTTGGTCGTACCTGTTCTGAGATGGCTGGAGAGAGGAAGAGATTTTATCCTCACAAAATTTCCTCATAGCAACTGTCGAGAGAGCCTGATCTGCCCTGCACACAGACACACAGAAAGAGTCAAGTGTAAACTAGAATTCTCCCGAAAGGCACTGCTTAAGAGTTTTTAATGATTTTGGAAGAAGTCTCTTATGTTCACCAAGGCTGCATTTATTTGATCAAAAATACAGTTAAGACAGCGGTTTAAAATAAAGAATAGATGTTTTCTATTTCATACATTTTAAAATATAATTTATTTCAGTGATGGAAAAGCTCAAAAGAATGGCGCTTATTTGAAACAAAAATCTTTTGTAACATTATAAATGTCTTTACTGTCACTTTTGAATAATTTAATGATTCCTTGCTGAATAAAACGTAATTTCTTTTAAAAAAAAAAGAAAAAAAAAAAGTATGGTGTACCCAGTGAAAAACGAATTAATGCATGTGAATGTGTGTGTGTGTGTGTGTGTGTGTGTGTAAATACCCAGCTGATATCTTGCTATAGTGCATGTAAGCTGCCACAATCACCCCTTTTTTTCCTTTGTTTCCCTGAGAAAGTGACAGGTAGAGAAAAAGGAAGACAGACAGAGAAGAAAAAATATATACAACAACTAATACTAATTTTGGGTCATGCTTTCTATGACACGAATCTGGTCACAGAGTTTAACAGCCCACTAGAGGGAAGGATTGAAAGTTGTATGGACTACTTTTATTCCACTTTTATAGTGCTTTCTGTAGCTTTAGTACCAATTGATTGTAATTGCATGGAAAAGACAGTACATTAGTCTAAACTTTTCCATTAGAAAGGCAGTCATATGAGTTTGGAATGACTTTGGAATAAGTAAATGGTGACAGAATCTCATTTTTGGATGATCTATTCCTTTAATAAGACTGATGACATTTAGACACTTTTAGCTCTTATATATATTAAATATCAAATAACTTCTGATCTCAACCTTGCAGTGCAGTACAACCACGTTCTGGGGGTCAGAGTTAAGCCAGTTCTCCATGGTTTTGCACACAGCACATATTTTATTGAGGGATGGGGCATGTAGATCAGGCCACCCAAACTCCTCAACCAGAGGCAGGGGAATGGGTCATCCCAGAAATACAGAAACAGAGGCATACATCAAAACAAGTAAGCCATAGAGTGACTTTTAAATTCATTTGCTTGCAAATCTAGCTAATGAAATAATACATATAAAGCTGTTTTAAATAAAACAGCAAGAAGATACCTTTGGATTTAGCCTGCAGATGTCATGACGTTTCTCTGACAGATTTATAAGCTGATGAGAAGTAAAAGAGACATAAGTGTGCTAATTCATATGGCTTTAGATCTCAGCAATGATTTTAAACAGAAATACAACTGACCAAGAACTTGTCTGGATGTTTAGATTTCAACATGGCCGCCACCTCCTTAAGGTTAGCACTGTAACGCTGGTCTTCCAGGTCAGACAGATAGAGGACAGAGATGATACGCTCAGTTATGTATGTGAGGTCGAAGTCATAATGACTGCCCATTAACTTCTCCATAACACTCTCCATTTTGTCTCTACTGTGAAACACACCACAAACACAAGATAGTCACACTCAAATACAAACATATGCAAATTTAAGGAGCAGTACACTTGAGAAATAAGAAATGTCATCCTAACCGGGATGATTTTCAAACAAACAATGTGAGTGATGACAGATTTTTACTTTTGGGTGAGCTTTTTCTTGAATACATAATAATGTTGCTCTTTTCTCTGTCATTCAGAGTTAGCTTTATGAAATTTGCCCTTACCTGGGAGGAATGTTCATCTGGTTTTGAAACGGGGGCTAGGAAGATCAGAAAAAAAAGAAAAAAAAAAAAAAGAATAAAAAGCAGGCAGACATGGTACAGACATTGCTTTTAAACTGCAATACATCAAACATACTTAGTAATTCCTTTAACCTTCCTTTTCTGATAATAATGGCTCTTTTTATGTTTGACTCCAATTATGCCTTTGTAAAAAGTAATGGTCATTTGACAATTATTCTTGTATTTCCCTTCAAATTGTTTTAATATGTTCTGCTGATATCCCAGTAGAAATAAATGACTAAAGCTTACCGAAGCAGGCATGCACTTTTAAAAAAATATCACTATTATCTAATATAATTACATTGTTTTTTCTTGAAGTCTATTTGACCCCAGCAAAAATACATAGTAAAAAAAGAAGAAGGAGGACATGAGTGGACGTCTACAGTGTGTATATCAATCAGAAAATCATGTGAAAAATGCATTGCATCTATTTATGTTTAATACCTGGGGTCGCTGAGACCACAAACATTAGTAATGTTACATTTCTCATGCAGGACACATTGGAAAATAATCCAACTTCCATTTTGTCAAACAAACTCTATTTAAAAGTTGAACTACTGAATGTACAAAAAGATGACATTACATAAAAAATTAAATACAATTGTCCATAAGTAAACTCAAAAATGTCCTAAAGCTGGTTGCTTCTGATTTTTACAGCGCAGTGAGATTTAGTTTATAATCAGTTTAATGCAGTCTAAGCCAGTTCCCTCAATTTCAGTTCAGCTAAATTAATTAATATAAATGTAATGTAGATGCAATGGTAAGTATTTTTTTAAAGATATTCGTTAAAAAGCAGCTTGGGGTCTCACAGTTAAATGTCGGGTTAAATATTGATCCTATAGTCACAAGACATATATAATAACTCATAGCATTACTCACTGCATCTGAGATAACTTCACAGGGGACAGAGACCTGGAAAAAAGACAGAGAAAGGTGTGTATTAGGACACCAAATCTTTGATGCATGATTTGGAGGGTTTAGACATCAGAGACCATATAAGAAACACATACCAGCCTCTTAAACATACACACACGCAGCTAGAATACGTTGGGGCCACTGGGTGACTCTCCATTTTAAGACATCCTCTCTGTCCTCATTAGGTTATTATCACACCAGGGGACATCTGGTACTGTTTAACACCGTCTGTGAGTGTGTGTGTGCGCACATATTTGCACATGTTCACTTTGCTTCCTTCTCAGTAATTAGTTTAGACATAACATTTGAACTTACAGACTCAAACTAACACACATGACTTTGCATATGGCTTTAATACCATTTTGTTAGTATATGCAATTAAATGTACAGTCACAGATGTAACCATATATTCAAGAGGGATAAATCAATTGGAAATTGGGATATTCTGATAGACTGACAAACAGGGAGGCAGATGTGGACAGAGGGTGGAGACACATGTATAAAGAGAAACAAAAGCAGCTGATCTCTCCATCCAGGACGGATGAAATGCCTGCTGGCTTTATAAACTATTTCCACCACTCTATTTCAGATGATCAGCTGGCCTCTATATGATCATGAGTCTGTTCGTAGTAGTATTTTTCGCCATGTAAGTCACGAATTTGTAAGTTGTAAGTTCACTGCATTGCCTTAAATTGAAGTAAAAATCATTTTGTTTATTATTTGAGCTCTGACTTAGGATTGCCCTGCTGGAAAATCCAACTGTTGGAAGTTGGAGCTAACATATTGCTATAACATAATGATAAAATTATATTATAATGCAGACAAAACAAATCCCTTATGAGGGATGAGGAAACACATGGGGTTCACTAACTACATCCTGTTTTAGCAGGTAACAAGTAATTGCAAGTTACGCAGACACAATCAAACGCTTACACACAATCACTAAACAAACATAAAGATAAATGTTCATATATTACAGGTATAAACCTTACCTGATTGTTTCTCTCATGTGTCAGTTACACTTTTGTCTCTACTTTGATTCCATATATTGTTGATTCTCTCTTTTCTACAGTATTTCTCTTTGTGCCAAACAGATTATCTCACTACAACCACAAACTGATTCTACTATCTGAAATGAAAAATATACTTAGTATATTTTACATTTGACAAAAGCAAAATGAAATCCCTCTTTGATGCCCTTTTAAAAAAGGAAAAGTGTCTGTACCTTTCTCAGATGAGTCCAGTTTTCTAGAGTTCCTATAGCACACACAAAAGTGCTCTCATGTCTTTCTGATCCTCTTACTCTCTTGCTCCCACTCAACTCTTCCTCTCTCTCTCTCTCTCTCTCTCTCTCAAACAAGGGCATGCACTGTAAAAATTGTTCAAGTAAATGATGCTTAAAACTGTAAATATGTACTTGATTATTGTAGTTTTATTATTGTAGTTGTTAGTTATATGCATTAACTACTTGAATTGGATAACACTTAACAATAAAGTTCCACAGTTAATGCATTACCTAACAATGAGCAATACATTTGTTACTATATGTATTAATTTTGTTAACATTATCATAGTTCATGTTAGCTCAAGTTCATTAAATATTAACAGATGCAACATTTAATTTTAATAATGTATTTGTACATGTGTAAATTAACATTAACTAAGTTAATAAATGATTTAGAAGTAATTTTCATCATTCATGTTAACTAATGTAGTTAACGAATGTTAACAACTTTTGTAAAGTGTTACCAGTATCATATTTGTTTTAAGTCAAACCAACTAGTATAGCTAGTATAGTGAATTGCATAATGCACTTTTTTTTTAGTCACTAACAATGGTTTTTGTATTCTAATGCCATTCAGTCAAGTCAAGTCTGCTTTATTGTCAATTCTTCCACATGTACAGCACATACATACAGAGAATTGAAATTGCGTTACTCTCAGACCCTTGGTGCATACAGATAACACTATCTTTCTTCGAGTAAGCACTGGGGAATGAATAATTATGGCTGCATTGTTTTGACACTTGACATTTTACGTTCAGGCAAGGCATTTACTTAAAGGGGTCATATGATGCGATTTCAATTTTTCCTTTCTCTTTGGAGTGTTACAAGCTCTTGGTGTATAAAGAAGATCTGTAAAGTTGCAAAGACTAAAGTTTCAAATCCAAAGATATATTCTTTATAAAAGTTAAGAGTCAGCCATGCCTACCTAAAACGGCTCGTTCTAACACACCCCCACATACCTACGTGCTGTGGATCGCCGGATCGGCTTTCACCGTGGATGAAGTGGAGTCTAGCCCGGAGTCGTCACATGTCCTTCCGGACACTCCTTCATCGAAATCGCCAGCCGCGCCGTTCTCAAGCCCTCACGCTAGCCCCCGGCCTCTGCTCACTGTAGGCCGCCGTGTGTTCTTTTTAGCAGCATCATATGACCCCTTTAAAATAAGGAGTTAATTGATTAAACTCAAAACATAAGATGAAAACTGTTGCCTTAGTTTTTATGGGCTTGATGAACATTGTTTGTTTATTTGTTTGTTTTATTGAGCAGAGAAAGAATAAAAGAGAAAGAACGGGAGCACGAGAAATAATAAGAAATAGAAGGAGAGCAAGAGAGGAACAGCTGTGGTGTGTAGCGTGTGGAAACACTGGTGTATATCCATGTGATGCACTGTTGGCATTTGGTGACTGATTGCAATTTCTATTAACACCAAAGATAACCAGAGTTCATAACTCATCTGAATTAGACCTATTTGTACTATATTTGAGAGTGACACACATCACAAGACCAGCAGACACTAAGATCATAGATGAACATATGGCGCTACAAGGACACATATAGTCATTCACAATAAAAATGCATTTTTTTTCTTGCCATTTTCTTATTGGTTAAAGCCAAATCAAGTGCTAATCACTGTTTAGCCAAAGTTTAGCCATATCCACTGTACTTCATAATAAAGGCATAGAGTAGTAACTGCATAAAGCTGTAAGAGAAAGAATCTTACCTTTTCCTCACATTTCTTATGCACTGCAGTTTTACACTCTGTAAGGAGAAAATGTGGATTACATTAATAAATATTGATGCACATTATGCGTGTTTGGGGGGAGGGGAGGTTTTGGCTATGTGGGGACCAAAAGTCCCACATGGATAGTAAAACCTGAAATCACCTACATTTTGTGGAGCAGTTAATGATACCCATGAGGAAATGGCTTAATAAACATAATAAAAATTTCTTAATTCAAATCTAAAAATGGGTTGGGGACAGAAATATCAGCAAATATTAGCTAAGAATAAACAACAGAAGTCAATGTAAAGTCATGATAGTAAAAACAAATGTGTTTCACCTCTGCAGTACATGCCATGGCTGTCGAGGGCTTGTCTGCAGACAACACAGTGGTGTTTCTTCTTGAAGTTCCTCTCTTTAAAGGAATGTGAACCCATTTTCCCCAACTACACATGTAAGCACACACACACACACACACACACAAAGACCTCAAAATTATACAGTAGCAGAATTTGTGGGATCTATATGTATGTACATTTGGCAAGAACTAAACCTAAACACATCTGCCAACCACAAACATGATATTAAAGAGCAATGAGCACACATGTCCACATCACGCCCACAGTTGTGGTGATATGAAGAGCATAAATCACTCACTCATATGAAAGCAATGAATGCAAATCATGTTTGTTTTGGGGAATAGTACTGTGATGATAGAAATGTTTTGGGCACAATGACCAGATATTGCATAAAACAGCTGGATGATTTGACAATCACTGAATAATCATACTCTATTCTATTCTATTCTATTCTATTCAAAGGTGTTCTTTCTACAAATTCAACTGCCCATGGTATACTGCCATCAACTAAATATTATGAATGGTATAAACAAAGTGATATATATATATATATATTACTGTACATACATACACACACACTCAGCTAAACACTAAAAACAACTTTAACTCACTCTGTGAACAGCATTTATAACTTTTTGTTGATAAAACATAAGTAATGATTATAAAAACATATTTTGTAAGACATTTATATACTTTGGGGTCGGTACGATTTTTAATGTTTAAAGTCTCTTATGTTTACTAGGGCTGCATTCATTTAATAAAAAAACAACAATAAAAACATTAATATTGTATTAATTTTTTTTATTTTAATATATTTTAAAATGTAATTATTTCCTGTGAAGGCAAAGCTGAATTTTCAGCAGCCATTACTCCAGTCTTCAGTCGCATGATCCTTCAGAAATCACTTTAATATATTGATTTAGTGTTCGAGTAACATTTCTTATTATTATCAATGTTAGAAAGCAGTTGTGCTGCTTAATACCATGATAGATTTTTTTCATGATGAATAGAATGTTCAAAAGAACAGCATTTATTTGAAATAGAAATCTTTTGTAGCAATGTAAAAAAAACATTTTTACCGTCACTCTCGAACAATCGAATGTGTCCTTGCTGAATAAAAGTATTAATTTCTTTAAAAAATGACTGACCCCAAATCTTTGAAAGGTAATGTAGGCCTTCATAGCGCATTGTTAGGTTTATCCCTTGACAATGCTGCCATCTATAGACTGTAAATGGTAAGTAAACAATCGCTATGCTATAAGCAGACTGGTGCTTAATTCCTTAAATTGTATACCACCTCAAACAATCTGTCTAAAGATTTTATGAAAAATATATCTGTTCTACAATAACAGAGTGTGTTTTAAAAAACACATATACAGCAGTTTATTCATCAACTAGTCCAAAAGCTCCTTTCATAGAGGTTATGTTTGCATATTCTGTGCATGTGGCAACCAGATATAAAACACAGATATAACAAAACTTCGGTTTTCATGTTTTTTGTTTTAAAACATGGTTTTAGATAAAGGACTTTTTCAGCTCTCCACACTTCTCTCTCTTTCTCTCGCTGTCTCCAGCCAAAGTTTGGCTCATGGATCAAGCATTTCCCTCCACATATCCAACGCACACAGACACAGCTTTCTCCTCATGCCTTCTCACTTCGTCTCCGAGGAGAGCAAAACTGTTTAGGTTACTAGAATTCTACCAATGTCAACTCAAAGTGCTATATGACCGAGAGAGTGAGAGAGAGAGACAAAAAGAGTTCTCTCACTGTGACTGTTGCTGCTGACATTTTGAAACTATAGTTTTGGCCCTGCTAATAGGAATTCTCTTTCACTCACATACACACTCACAGTCCAGGCAGGAGTAGACGGGAGCAGGTGGGAAGGCCGAGGTATGCTTCTACCTTCCCAGAATTCCACCGTCTATTTTTAACCAGGGATCTTCTTTACAGCAAAAAAATAGCTTTACACTTCAAGCAGTGACAGCAGTATGAACATTCATAACAGAACCACTTAATAAAGAGTACTGAATGCTGACATCCCCTAAAATACAAACTTTAACCTGAAATGTTGATGTTAAGGGAAAAAAAAAAACACTTATGGAATGTCAGACAAACCAGGGACTCCAAGCACTATATAATAATATATAATAATTATATAGCTATTAATATAACTATATAATTATGGCCAATTTAAATATACCACAGAATGTAATATAACATAAATGCTAATATTTTGTAATAATATAAAATATAGTATATTATATATTATATATATATATAAATGTTGATGCATTTTTGTATCAAGAACTAACAACAAATAATGTATTAATCTAAATTATTGTTAATGTGTTCTTACATCATACATTTTAACATTTCAAGCTGTGTAAAATGAATATTATTTTATTATGAATGAACTTGAATTAACACCGAACAGTAGTATACTTAACATTAGACTAATAAATGCTATAAAAATTGTTTTTGCAGTTGTTTTTTTAGTTCACGATAATGCTTTATCTAATGTTAACGAATGTAACCTTATTGTAAAGTATTACTCTTATAACATTTATAAAGTGCATTAACATTACTACATTATATAATGCTAAACAGATTATTAGTTACAAAATTAGTTGATACAAGTTTGTATGTTTTACATATGTTCTCCATGGACCCCCAATTCAACAGACCCCTATTTGAAACCCCTGACTATAACGATTCCAAATATTGAATGATTTACAGAAGACATAAAACATAACCATTGAGGCAGATCCACTGTACTCATTGCATGGAAATCTTCTGTAAAAAATGACCGTGAATTTAACGGTAAGACTGTAAAAACGCTACAGTAAAAACCTGTTAAATGGTTAACGGTAAATTCCCCTACTATATACGGTGAAAAACTGTATTGGACATTACATGTATTGGACATAAATTTTACGGTATACCGTTTTTGGAAGTGGAAAAAGACCGTATAATTTACAGCGAATAACCGTAAATTAACATTCCCAGAATTCCCTGCATTACATTTCAAATTTGATGTTTTTTTGTTGAAATAACTGTGTTTTAGTTTTTTCTTATCATATCAGTTTTGTATATTAGTGTTGTGCGTTACATCTAATGTTGTTAAATGAATGTTTATTGCATTATTTCAGTTTCATGTGTGTTACCATGATGGTGTTTAGTGTTTGTGTGAATGACACTGTGCACCTTCTATATATGTTATTATTTAAAAGCTGCTTGTGATGGGCTATGGTTCATCATATGACTTTCTCATCACCACCTGCATTTGGTGGTTATCAGTGTATTACAAAGCTACAAAACAGATTTCAGTACTTCAATAGATTGGTATATTAACATTATATCAGTTAATGAAATTACGGTATTTAACTGTAAATTTAAGTTAAAACCGTAAAACCTAAAACGTTGCTACCGTATTTTTACGATAAAATTCCAGCAAACCGCAGCTGCTGTTTTTTTACCGTAAATTTTACGGAATTTTTTTTACAGTGTATATATGACCCCTTTCGCACACATAAACACACGCGTACCTCTGTTAAGCTGAGAATCTCTGCATCCTCTGTGAGGTCTCGTGTTTTCGGGGGGTCCAAGGGCTGGGGATTCCTCTCTTTAACCCACCGCTGCTTGCTGAAGACACAACCCATTCTACTTGCTTTATTCCTCCTTTGATATCCTTTCCGTCTCCTCTTACACTTTCTTAGCCCTTGTTTTCCTTAGTCTTCAGTCCAGGTTGCTCCTTATTTGACATGTCCCTTCTGCTCAAGGACGTCCCCTTGTTGCTCAATGTCTTAGCGTCCAGTTCCAACACAGAATCCTGTCTCTCACACCATCTTTTCCACACATTCTCTCCCACTTTCAAAGTCTCCCTTTCAGTGTCTCTCAGGGTGTCCTCCCTCTAACTACAGTATCTCTTGCCCCCTCACATGCATACTATGTAACGCACTCCTCCGTCTCTCTCGCAGCTGTTTTTGGCAGGCTTACGTCAGACCCTTCCTCTTCTTTGGCACTTGAGCTCTGCTCACCCACTGGGAGCCATCACACACACACACACCCTAAGGCTTGTATTCCAACATCTCTCCACCACCCAGTCTAAGTCCACACACAGAGAGCATTAGGTCTTCTGTTCCTCATCTCCATCTTTCATTGGCAGAATGAGACAACAAAGCATCTGTTCTCCTTCCTTCACATCCGCTTCATCCAAGCAGCACTTGCCTCGCATCTGCATGTGTGGGTGTAATACTGAATAACTTACTGTGAAGCACATGAAACCACAAAAACTCTTCCATGAATAAAACTCTATTCATAATAAAGTTTCTGCAAAACAGGGGGAGTTGTAACATCAATTAAATTAATTAATAATGGACTACAGGGGTGAAGGACCACCATCTTCCTGAGGCAACAGCAGAAGTTGTAAGACTCTGTCAAAAAAATATAAAAGGTTTGTAGCACAACAAAATTTTGAGGTAGAAAAACAAGCATTTCACTTGAGTTATAATTTGATTTGCAATTATGTTAATGAAGGTTACATGACAGATCTTGCATCTTCTGAATCATCTTGTTGAAGATATTCATTTAAATAAATGTTTGTTTAACATTCCCCACTCCTATCTATTGCATAGCTACTTTTCTCAAAATATCTACGCAAAAGTGTTTGTCAAAAACTACAATTCACTACAATTTAAAGTAGATTGCATTAACCATGTTTATGTCAATAATATTCATGATGTCATTACAGTATAGTATGTGGTATTCTGAAGTGATACTGCATTTCAAATGAATTCAAGTGTTTCTGATTACTGCATAATTATCATACACATATAATGCAGAATTTAAAAACAGTCCATGTAGTCATAAGATGAGGTTATAAGAACTTCATGACCTCATCTTATGACTACAAGGACTGTTTTTACACATTTGCACACAAAACTATTTAAGTGAAATAACAAAGCTAAAAGATTCAAAAAACAAGCAAACTAAATTGTTAACAAAAGCCACCAATTCATAAATGTTTTTTTGGTTGCTTTTAAGGTCGCTCTAGTAGGTTCTGTGTCCACAGACCTCCATTTAGCACCAACTGTCATTCTACAGACAACAGAAACAACACGTACATGCACCTGACACAGCAGAAAACAACACTAAACACACAAAGCACTGCATCTGTCACTAGAGGCTGAAAACACACAGGACTGCAGCTTCACATACCCTGATTCAGCTTTTTGTTTCTTACGGCCAAGATGTCTCACTGCTATCGGTTGGTAAAAAATAAAACGCTAAAAAATCAATTACCAATCTAATTAAAAGTACTACCAAGTACCAAAATGTTCTAGGATGCATAAAATTCCATCGTATTCTTAGTATCATGGCATATTCATTGTGCGTACCAAATGGCCTATTATCATCCCATTCTTGTACTAGAAGTACTTTATTTGTCTGAAAGCCTGTTTACACCAAGGATGCTAACTATAAAGTTTTAATAGTAGGTTTAATTGTATGAGGATAGGGAACTTCACACCACAGCCATAACGATGTGGACACAGATGTTCAGAATGATTTTCTTTCTTTTTTTTTTCTCTTTACAGCTGAATAATTAAAACATTCTGACAGCCAATCATAATCCACCCGACAGTTCAGATTTAAAGTGGCAGTGCTTAATAAACAGAACGTTATCTTCCTATCTTCGCTTAAATAGTAATCGTTTAATAATTAATTATCGTTTTTGGTGTGAATGTGTCGCAATTCATCTTTATCTGAATAATTTTCATAAATTGCACTATTTACATACCTTGAATCTGTAAATTAAATCCCGTTCACACCAAGAACAACAATTATACAGTTTTAGTTCTCATGTATGAGGATAAGGGATGATAATTATAACGATAACAACATATAGTAACGAAATAGTTTCAGAACGATCTTTCTTCCAGTTGACAAACAATAAAAACAGCCAATCAGAATACATCGCATTTAAAGTGGTGCTGGTTGTGTGTTGGTGTAGACGCAAATAGGTATTATACTTGGTGTAATAATTTTTATCATTAGAGTTAACTTTTGTTTTTCATTAGCCATTAACTAGAAGCCAAACAAACATTATTTTCTGCCCTAAAAGAAACCATAATGGCAGACCACAGAGCCATGGCTTGTTTATAAAAGCCATCAGGGATGACATAAAAACATTACGCTCATCAAATCTGATTCATCACTAAACCAGAGACTGTTTTTAATTGTCATTGAACTGCAGTATTTCCATGTGTGGACACATTGTCAATGCACTCATTAAAGGGAATGCAACAGAGTTCATCTGAGTACGAAGGATATTATGAGAAAATGCCAGATCATGCAACTTTTCTGGCAGCTGGGAAAACATGGATAAACCGCACAATATGACGACACAAAGAATGCAACGAAGCCCCCAGCCTAGAATGGCCGTAAAATCCTTCCAATAAAGCAGTTATGTGAAAAACACCTTGAGAAGCACACCGCTCAAAATCATCCAAAATTTAAGAGAAAACGGCTCCAAAATGTAACCAAACCAGTTTTCTTGTGGCACATATACAGCCACTGCAGTCCAACTGTGGATTTTCATGCAGTCAAGATTTTTTTGATTACTTAATAATATAGTCCTTGGGAAGGAAAAGGATTAAGGGTCTTGGACAGCTTTTCAATACTCAATCACCAAGGGACTGGGCAGATCAGCACAGCCTCAGTGTGTTGGACCATTACATTGGTTTGAGAGCACTTTGAGGGAGTTCACTATCATGCCCTTTGAGAACATAATGCTACACAGGTTTGAGATGAACGGATGAACAAAATAAGCAGAAACCTTGAGTTTCAATCTCAAGCATTTAAAGGATTTAAGTGGAAAGCCTATCCTACGGCATACGCCTCAGTTTTGAGGGCGTTTCTGCTGTCTCTGCTAACCATGAACTCTTCAGTGGGAGATTAGATACATTAGGCCTGTTTCAACAAAAATGCACCATGGTTTATGGCATTCCAACACAACTCTGAGCATTATGAGTGAACAGTTAAATAAGATCCATAAAAAAACCTACTATGCATCATATTGCAATTGGAATTCAGAGACAAGTTGCAGTATCTTATATTTTTTATTATAACAATGACTTTCAAATTAACAATGATTTTCAAATGTCTACATGCATGAATGCATTTATCTACGTACTGCACTGATTTGTTTTATTTTATTTTTAATTAAAATGGGCCAGTTTTAGGAATACCTGTATACATTTCCATAAACATGACAGAGAACAGCATTGTGGGTACCTTAGCCATCATCCCTTAAGCCACTCCCTCAGCATGAGCTCTAATTTAACCCCTCATTTGATCGTTCAATTGCTCTTTATCTTCTGTACTCTGTTTCTGTAGTTAGTTGATCCTTCCTAATTGTTCATTCCTCTCCATCATCTTCTCCCTGGTCTCCATCCATTAGTAGGGCAGCATACTTGCTTGCAGAGCTGAATTGCTGTAGGGACAAAAAGAAAGTTTATAACCTTAATGTTTGTGATGAGCAAGACATAGTGGCATCAAGAAAATAATCTTCCGGTATTTCTTACTGAATTAGTAGTTCCCACAAGTCCTACACAACAGTGGGCTGAACAACTGCACTAATTTGTAGGTTTCTACAATCAATCATATTTGGGGTCTAATTTTTCTTGTAATGTAGACTATGTCTACTCATCGAGGGGTCAGGACCAGATAAAGTACTCACAGGAGGAGCGCTCTCTTCATATTTCTTTGGTTCTGAGGCTATTCTGGGATCTTGTTCCCGTCCGACCTCCTTCCTGTCAATTAAAATACATGACAGGGTTTAAGAATAGATAAACTACATTATATAGAGATTAGAGATGCACCGATTGCAATTTTCTAGGCCGATTCCGATTTCCGATTTTTTTGGAAGTGTGACCTGCCGATACCGATTTTTTGCAGATTCTGATTTTCTTTCCAAGAACTATAATTGACAGCATATACAAACAAAAATCTATGCAAATTTCAATGCAAAAATTTTATTTATTTACATAAAATAAATTATTAAACATTACAATTCCCCCAATCTGGACTAAGTTACAGATTTTCTCTCACTTAAACAACTCTCAAAATAAAGTGCTCTGTGACTGGAAAGAGGAAGAAATAGTTAACTTAAGATGCGTTGCTGTATGTAACAAAACAGATGTCATTTCCCACTATGTTTATAAATGATCATTTTTTTCCCCAACCTTATTAAATGGGTCATCTTTCACATCAAGTTCTTACTTTGTTTCAATTAATTCAGTTAGAATAATACTGAAATAAAGAAACTGTAGAGTTGTTACCATTCAAATGAAATTAGTATTAACAAACTATCTTTTCACTGCTGAGGAAACAGAAGCTGCATCTGAAGTGGCATTAGATGCATTTACAGTTTGATGAAGCTGAGGTGCCATAAATGAATTTACACTGTAAAATTTCAAATGCATAAATCATTTAAGATTAATGTTTTACATATTTTATAAACATACAAATAAATGTTGCAAAATTGACTCACTCGATTCGTTCAAAAACGTGGATTCATTCAGTAACGAAACACGCTGTGTGTGACTTTTATCGGAACTATTTTCATCAGCGAAATTGAGCAAAAACAGTCAATATTTTGTCTAAAATCTAAGTCACTTAATTTTAACTTCTTGTTTATTGAAATACTATTGTATAAATTCAGTGTCACATTGCAGTCGTGTTGATATTGATATTCGAGGAAACATCGTGGCCGTATAAAGTGTCTTACCTAAATCATATTTTGTAAATATTTTTTTTTTCTACCGCAGTATGCATCTATAAATTTCTGTGAGTTACTTTGTGTGTTCTGTCTCTCACACACTCAAGCCCCGTTCACACTACAAGCGACAAAGCGACACGATCCCATTCATTTCAATGGAGAGCTGGCGATTTCCGGCAACAAGTGCGACAGCGGCCGTTGGAGACGGATGGGGCGTGTCCAGCGACACGACAAAGTTCAGAATCCTTCAACTTTATACAAATGAAGAGCGACTTTCGGGAGCGACAGCCAATAGGAAAGACGGTAGAGCTCATGTGATCGTTCTCCTCTCAGCCTAGATAAACATACGCAATGGAAAAAAAAGTAGGCTCTGTTTCTCATTCATTTTTGTTTGTATGAACAAAACCCTTAAAACAATGCAAATATATTTTTGGTAGCACAATCTGATAGGTAGCGTGTTTCGTCGGTACACCGGCGCCGCTGGCAATAAAAGGATCGGCTCGGAATCGGCAAGACACGAGACTGACCGGCCGGTCATGCAAAAAATTGGCCGATTCCGATCACTGGCCAGTCAATCGGTGCATCTCTAATAGAGATCATGATAAAATTTATGTTACGTTAGCGATAATAAGCTCTGCACATTCTTACTTGATATGGATTAATCTAACAGCCTATCACACAGCAGAAAAAAAAACGTGACAACAGCCAGTCAGTATGTTGCTAATAAGTTTGCCAGTTCTATGTGTCTGCGTCTCAATGAGGACATGATGAACACATGAAATTCATCTCCAGACCTGCTCTGAGTCACTTCTTGATCTTTAGTTTCATTTGAGAAAAACTACTATCAAATACAAACTGAAACTCAAAGACCTTCATTACAACCCGCCATTGTTCAGTTTAACTTGAAGAAATTACAGAAATATTGTACTATTGTATTTTAAAATGTACTTCCCAGATTAATAATATTTTTAAAGAATAATTTAACCAAGATATTTTTTCATCCATGTTTTAATTTATACAGTTCTGTTGTGTAACATCTTATTTGACAAAACATTTTAATGCAATGTTTTATAATAAATTAATTGTTATTTTCACTGGATTACATTTTAAAAGATTGATTAAATTGTTAAAGTTTTATTAATTCATTTCATTAGACAAAACACATAATTTGGGAAAAATTAAATGGATTTCATGGGGCCCTAAATTAAAAGGTAGCCACTCTGTGGAGTTTAACTGTGAAGAAACAAGTTAGGGTTTACATTTATTCTCAAGGTCTTACAAACATGTGGAAAGCATTTCCATCCCCAGTAATGGCAAATGAATATCGTGATGAAAAAATGTTTTTTCCTTACAGCTTCATTTGTAATAAAATGCTAGTTGTATGGACTATTTTAAAGTCAGTTTTAGAGCTTAGCAGTTCCCATTTACTTTCAATATACAGAAAAGTCTAGCATTCTTTTCCTCTAACTATATTTCAGATTAAGATACTGCTCTTCAGTCAATGTGATGTCTATGGAGTTGTGTAAATTTATACAGTACAAGAAAAATTCACATTAATGAAGAATGCCTCACCTGTCTGCAGGTTCTATCAGTTTCTCTTTGTTTGGGGAGTCAACTCCTCGTCCCCGACCCCCTCCTCTTCCAACTCCAACTCCTCCTCCACCTCCTCCCTGAGGCACAACTTTATCCTTTCGAATGCCATCAACCCGGTTTTCATCTAGCAAACAGAACAACGAACAAGTGAGGAAACGGTATATATTCTTAAGATTTTTTCCACTCTTTTGAAGTTTTAATGTGGAGACTTTTAACCTTTGCCCGATACTCTCTCTTCTGCTGACCTAGAGAAACAGTGACGGAGAAAAACAAAAAGCGCATTAGTGTTACTTGTGCTTCATTGTGTTTTTTATATTTGTATTTCCATTATTTGTGAGAGAAATCACACCTGCTGGGTTTAAGAGCGCTTTTGTTGCTAGGGGCAGCTGAGGGTGGTCCTTCCTTCTCATTAGCACCACCCCCTGTGCTGCGTTTGGCCCAGGCGTTTTCTTTAGGTGGAGGAGCCGGCATAACTTTCAGTGGGTGCGCTCCCTGATTGGAAGAGGGTGATGAACATGATGGAGAGATCGGCTCATCCTCCTGTCCACTGAAGACTTCATTCTCTGAATGTTCACCATCTTGACACCTAGATCCTGAACATCACAGATACAGAAGTACTTATTTCACACTTTGTTAACTACTGGCAGGATCTTCTTCTTTTGTAGGCATATTTGCTTGAAATAAAAAAAAGTTTAAATGGCTGTATTTCTACTGTCATTGTAGACATCTCCAAATCATTGTTATTTTAGTATTATTTATATACCAATACAGTATTTATTAATATTTTGAATTAACTTCTATTTGTACATTTTCAATTTTCATTTCAATTTTATTTAAAGGTTCAGCAATTTCATGTACTTTAAACATTTTTATTAGTTTTTGTTCTTTCAAATATTTCTATTTAGCTTTAGTGTATATTAATTTTAGTATTAAAGTAATTTAAGTACTTCAACTTAAACATTTCAGTTTCCAAGGAAACATTTCTAATGTTCATTTTATTTTTTTCATCTAATATTTATATTTTACGTTACCTTTATTTTAATTAACACATTTTTTTTTATTAGTTTTAGTTAACACTGCGTCAAACACGATCTATCATTCTCAAAGAGAGTATGTTATTTGAAATAACTGAAATCATTTGGCGAAGTGATCTGGATATGTAATGCGATTAAGACCTTCCTAGAACTACTTTCGCCGTGCGTTTCCCTGAAAATAATTGCACGCCTTAGAACGTTCATCAGCCAATCAGATTCAAGCATCAACAGCCCCGTAGTATAAAGCTAATACAGCCCTTCTACAAGGTTTCTTTACGACTATAACAGATTTTTTACATCTTTTATAGGGTTGGGCCGATAGACGATGCCATCGTCGATGGCTGACAGACATCATGATGTTGAGCCGGCAGAACCCCTAAATGATAAACTGATTCTGGCCTCATTTCAGTGGCCTCAAAAGTAAAGAGTAAGAGTTAAAACACATGCATAAATGTATTACCTTTAGGTTGCGAGGATTCACTTCCTGTGTGTCGACGCTCTTTAGATGGCTCTTCATTCCTCCAACTCAAGTCTCTGAAGAAAAAAAAAAGAGAGACAAATTCAAGCACAAATTCTATAAATACTCTGATCACAATTTTTTAAAGTTACTTTTTCTGAGACTCCAGATGTTCCCGAGCTGTATTCCATTTCAACCCTCCCCAAGATCCCTATGAGATTCACTTTTAGGCTATTTTCACACCACAGACCACCTTTCCCCAAGTAGTTTAGAAAAGTGCTTTTACATCAACCCATCTATTCACCCATTCTCACCGGTCTCGTGGTCGTCTCTCAGAGACCCTTATCTTGTCCTCCTCCAATTGTTTCTGGAGTCGTTCTTGTTCTTTCTTTAGCCTCTCCTCCACCTGTCTTTCCTTGGCAGCCGTGTCCACAGGTTTGGCTGCCCCAAATATAGAGGAAGCCCTGCTGGAATTAGCCGTATCACTCTGCGGGGACAAGCTTACACTCTGTTCCTCCTCTTTTGGGATGCTCCGTGGCTTCAGGTTTAACTTGGGCCTCTGTAGAGGGGCTGGAATGGAAAATCTCATATGATTAGTGACAACATTCCTGATATTAAACATGTATCTTTAAAGCTGAAGTGTGTAATTTCTGCCTTAACATTTTCTCATGTACCCCTCTCATCTCGTCCATCATCCCTCTTGTCTGAACGCTCTTCTCGATCGCCATCTCGCCGGTCATCATAGTCTCGCCTGAAGCCACTGCTGAATCCTCGTCGTCCACCACGTGAGTCATAACCTAAGACAATCACAACCATAGCATTACTTACAAAGCAAACACTAACTAATAACACACCAAAAACACAGAACCTCAAAGAGAAATTAACTTGCACTAGCATTTACATTCAATTTGGGCATCATATGAAAAATTAAGCAATGTTTTGTGGAATAAGCGGAAAAATGGACGAAACACTACAAACCTCCACGATCATAGTCTCTGCTACCTTTGTCATCGTAGCGATCCCTTCGGTCTCGGTCGTCAAAGCGATCTCTTCCACTGAAGCGATCTCGACCGCTGTCAAAACGATCATCACGTCTTGGAGCGTCTCTAAATCGGTCCGACTCATAGCGGTCACGTGACCCTGCAAAAAAATACCACAAGGCATTTCACTAGAGCTTACGCTACACCTACGTCATCCACTGGAACGCCACTCTCTCGTGAACATGCGTACAACAGTTAGCGGAAGCTAGAGATTACCGTTTATAAAGTTTTAAATATGGATATTTGTCTTACACAAATGCATTGGTTTGCTTCAGAAGGCATTTATTAACACCCTGAAGCCATGTGAAGCAGAGGTGGGAGTAAGTCACACATGTGCAAGTCACAAGTAAGTCTCGAGTCTTAACCTTCAAGTCTCAAGCAAGTCCAAGTCAATTTTCGTGAGAATCAAGCAAGTCAAGTCACTGCTTTATGTCAAGCAATTCAAGTCAAGTCGTAGCTTGGGTCAAGCAAGTCACTGTCAAGTCATACAAATGTTTGATGATTTAACTGAATTTATATATTAAAATAAGTTAAAACTACAGTAGGTATGGACTATGGGAGCATTATTTGCAACAACAACAAAAATTGCAATATGCATTTCTACTCAAAAGTTGTCCACATACAGCAGAGTTGTTCATACAATAAAAATCTGAAAATAAATAAATAAAAATTAAAACTACATAGCCTAAAAATGTAAATGTAACTGAAATTAGTCCAACATAAAAGCATGAAAAGTATTTAGATACAGCTTTTTCAATATGCCTCAAACATTGCAGAAGACCATGAAAAAGTATTAAATAATTCAAGTATAATGGTTTCTATGCCACCAAATGGCATTCTTGAAACAGGCATCACCTTTATGGGACATGAACACATCCTTAAGTTAGATCCTTCTTTTTTAACAAAAGAATAACAACAACAAGAACAAATATTAATAATTGAATCACACAAACCTTGCACCTGTTTATAATGTACATTATTAATCTGTGTGTGTGTGTGTGTGACTGAGTGAGTGACTGAGTGAGTGAGTGAGTGAGAGAGAGAGAGAGAGAGGTGATTTGAGTTAGTGTGATTTATTAATATAATAATAAT